CGGGTTAGTACCACGACCTCACAGAAGACCAGCGTAAAGTGAAATATGACAAATACTTTCGCGTTTCGTCTGGTGAGTGAGGTAGCCGGTGCCCACTTTTCAAAAGGTTGTCAACGCATCTATTTTAATGTTCACTCTTAAGTGCAAAGATTAGCACTATAAACAATTTAAATTTCTAAAAAAGCAATGGCGACATCTCTCGTTCGAATTATCGTTGTAAAACGATATTCGAAGTTGTTTGTATGCTGGAAAGGATATAACAATAGATGGCGCCAAGCATTGCTTCAAATGCTAAGAAAACAATGTAGAAGAATGCGTTAAGATTTTCGTCGGTGTGGTAATCAGCCGTTTAGCTCAGTGGCTAGAGCGTCAGGCCGCGAATGCTGAAGACGTGGGTTCGATTCCCACAGCGGCGACGATCTTTTCGCACTTTTTCTACATATTTTAGTGTTCAATCTTAAGTGCAAAGATTAGCACTATAAACAATTTAAATTTCTAAAAAAGCAATAGCCACATCTCTCGTTCGAATTATCGTTGTAAAACGATATTCGAAGTTGTTTGTATGCTGGAAAGGATATAACAATAGATGGCGCCAAGCATTGCTTCAAATGCTAAGAAAACAATGTAGAAGAATGCGTTAAGATTTTCGTCGGTGTGGTAATCAGCCGTTTAGCTCAGTGGCTAGAGCGTCAGGCCGCGAATGCCGAAGACGTGGGTTCGATTCCCACAGCGGCGACAATCTTTTCGCACTTTTTCTACATATTTTAATGTTCAATCTTAAGTGCAAAGATTAGCACTATAAACAATTTAAATTTCTAAAAAAGCAATAGCCACATCTCTCGTTCGAATTATCGTTGTAAAACGATATTCGAAGTTGTTTGTATGCTGGAAAGGATATAACAATAGATGGCGCCAAGCATTGCTTCAAATGCTAAGAAAACAATGTAGAAGAATGCGTTAAGATTTTCGTCGGTGTGGTAATCAGCCGTTTAGCTCAGTGGCTAGAGCGTCAGGCCGCGAATGCCGAAGACGTGGGTTCGATTCCCACAGCGGCGACAATCTTTTCGCACTTTTTCTACATATTTTAATGTTCAATCTTAAGTGCAAAGATTAGCACTATAAACAATTTAATTTCTAAAAAAGCAATAGCCACATCTCTCGTTCGAATTATCGTTGTAAAACGATATTCGAAGTTGTTTGTATGCTGGAAATTATATAACAATAGATGGCGCCAAGCATTGCTTCAAATGCTAAGAAAACAATGTAGAAGAATGCGTTAAGATTTTCGTCGGTGTGTGGTAATCAGCCGTTTAGCTCAGTGGCTAGAGCGTCAGGCCGCGAATGCCGAAGACGTGGGTTCGATTCCCACAGCGGCGACAATCTTTTCGCACTTTTTCTACATATTTTAATACTTAGATCTTGTAAATTTTGGATATCATAAATTGAAAAAGAATTATTTATTTTAAGTTTTAATACATTATATCTAATAAATAAAATTCTCGTGTCACGGTGTTTGTAATTGAACTCCTCCGAAACGGCTTGACCAATTTTCGTAAAATTTTGTGTGCATATCGGCCAGGGTGGAGAATCGGACAACATTTATTTTTATCCCCCTAAATGCTTAAGGTGGTCCACCCCAATTTTTTTTTAATTTTTATATAAAATTTTTTGTTTTTAATTTTTATGATACAGCATACAAAAATACATAAAACCCTAAATTTTCCCTCCTCTACGCAGACGTAGTCGTGAGCAGCAGCTAGTAATTAATATAAATCTAAGGTATAACGACTTTCGCTTTATAACGACTTTTACTTTTAAACAATTTTTTGTGTGAAAACAAGTGAGATGTAACTGAGGATACGACCTAGTATTTATTGATAGTACATGTAATTGTAATAAAAAAAACGCTTAATTATAGAATAACATAATTCTGTAATTGGTTACTGTAATCTTTTTTGTTGACCACAACTCAATCTGTATTAAGAAGAAAACAATTTCGCTTTATAATAGACTCATAAAATACTTCGTTTGTATGACAATGCCCCTTATCTTAATAGCTGTACCGGCCCTTATAATGAAACAATTAAGACAATACGGAACGAACAATAGAAATAAAAAAAAAACGTGAAACCGCTCGACATTAATCTTCCTCACGGGTTGCCTTGTTTGTTTTCCCGCGTCAAACACGAATTCGATTTTTAAACTATGGGGGATTATTTTGAGACGGACGCCTTTTAATTTTTATCTCGTCTCTTGTCCGTTAAAGCGAATGTTTTTGAATATTAATAGGATTTGAGATAAATATCTGACTTACGGGTTTTTTTAGAGCAAAACAAGGTTAGCTCGGTGTATAGTAATTGAGAATTGTATATTGGTTTTTTTTCGATTATTTTTTTTCCAGATAACGTTTCATTAAACATTCTATTGCTGGAAGTCAATAACCCTACCTAAACAGGTAATTTAAATCTTGGTTATCACATTTCAATCACATATCTACCTTAAATATATGAAGATATTTTACTCTGTAGAGGTTTGTCTCGATGAATTTCCAGGGATTTATTTAATGGAAAGAACCACAGGATGGGTAATAAGTTTAAAGTAACTTTAAAAGTTTAAGTGACATTAAGTTCATCATAGCGAATAAATCGTTATTTTTAGCGTTCTCTTTCACTCCAGCATTATTGTTTTAAACTTCTTATTATCAAGTTATATCCAACACCAGTATAGAATCTCTTATCGTAACATATTTGTTGCATGGTATCCGTTTGTCTGAACATCTCTAAGTTCCACTGCTTTTTGAAGTTGAATCGTAATAAAAAAATTTAATGCAATATATCGCTTTATTCTTTGCTTTCACTAAGTGTTAAGAACATACTACGAGATACTGTGTTCGAATAAATAAAACCAAGTGCGAGTCAGACTGACGAAGAGTTCTGTTGCATGTGATCTGTTGTATGGGAGTCACACTTAAATATAATTTTTATTCTGTTTTTATTTATTATGTACTTTATTGTACACCACAAAGAATTTGATACAATTAAGTCTTAAAAGCTAGGTACAATAAGGCGGTCTTATCGCTAAAAAGCGATCTCTTCCAGACAACCTTAGGACGAGGAAAAAAAAAACTAATGAATAGTGGGAGGTGGTGTGCTCAATAAACTTACTTAATACCAAAATAGACTTAAATATAATAAAATAAACAAAATTATAATAAACATACATAAACATAAATAAATATATAATATATATATAAATAAATAAATACACGAGAGAAGAATTGAATATGAATATTGCCATTAAAAACTATGGAAACTATGGACAATTTTAAAAGTTTTTAATATTTTTTTATTTTTTTGATTTGAAATACATCATCTTTAAATAATTTTAACTGCCTAACTATCACGGTTCAAGAGCCTGGTGATAGACGGACCTCTGTCCGTCTCTCTAGACAGCGGAGTCTTAGTAATAGAATCCCATTTTACCCTTTGGGTACTGAACCCTAATAAAAAGAAGAATCTCTTCAACTCCTGTGTTAATGTTCTCTTTCTAGCCACTATGCTGGTCTTTTTAAGTTTTTATTATGAAATATGTAAATGAGAAAATAGTGAATAACGTAAATGGTATTATACATTCTATCTTTCGTAAATCTATCACTTAAAATCGAAGTCAAGCTAGTAACTGGGAGTGCAAATTTTTCAGATCAGCAAAATTTTTGATGAACGTCACCAGTGGTTTTAAGGATTTTCTTTTATTTTTAGTACTAATTTACACTTGAGAGGTAAATTAGATTTAGAGGTTAGATAAATTATCGAAAATGTTGTTTTCGGCGCTGCGGGTTTCGAACTTGCATCTTCTGGATATATGGTCCCATATGCTCTAGTATTCTAACTTTTAGCAAAGCTAGATGCAAAATAAAAGAAAATTTCTGATAGCATCATCAAGATGCATGGTATTAAGTTAGGTTGTTCTTGGATGAAAAAATCTTAAATATCAACCACCTGTTTCGTTACCCAATTGTCTCTGATGAGAATTACATGTTTATTCGTATAAGTAATATTCTAATAAAATGAAAGTTTATGGGATCTCTAGGCACGATTTTGAACGGGCATGCTTTTTTTATCAATAAAAATGATTTTTCATTGCTTTGAGTTGCACAAACAACCGGATTTAACAAAACCTTTGTCTCATAAACAGATGTCCCAAATAGGTTAATTATTATATCGTAAACAGATTATTGAATATACATACAATATTAATATCGAACATTGCGCGCTGTCAAAGTACAGCAAAGATATGCTTTTATACAGTAAGGTAGTACTGAACCTGGCAATAAAAAGTATATAATACACTCTCCTGTTCAATAGCTATATTGTGAGCAACTGTTAAGTCGATCCATTGGCTAGTTCTTGAGTTTTGTGGACACAAACATACGGAAGCTAAATTTTTATGCATAAAGATATCCCAAAAAGCCACATAGAGTCGTGGCTGCCTAATATACAAGAATGTACAGGAATCACATGTGTCGTGTAGCTTTTCAACATCGCTATAGACCTGGTGAAATATGCTGAGCTGATAACCGACCTTCGCTAGTTGGAGAAGCACTGGGAGGAGAAGATAGTCTCAGTATCAGAACACTGTTAACTGCGGTAGGGCCACGCAACAGCTTCGGATGTTGCGTGAATGGGCAGGTTCGTCCTGGTAAGTACCGCTACCTCACAAAATACCGGCGTGACGTGGAAGCGTCATACTTCTGCGTTTCGTCCATGAGTGAGATAGCCAGGGCCCTCTTCATTAAAAGGTGGCAATGCATCTGCAACCCTGTGGGTGTTGAAAATATGCATGGTAGGCGCTTATCATTTAACATCAGGTGAACCGCCAGCTCGCTTGACAACGTATCACATAATCGATGCCTCGAATGGGAACATTCGCTATAGATGGGCCTCGATTGGGAATGAACAAGAACAAAGGCCCAATGCCAAAATTGGGGCTTCGGGACCTACCTGGTGGGGTCCCGGGGGAGACACTGGCGCTCCTGCACTGCGACCCCGCCGCCACACGAGCGCGAGCACGCACTCCACGCGCCCCACGCACTCCACGCGTACACAGTCGAGTTCGTTCGGGTCGCTTGCGTCGTTTGATGCGCCTGGAAGTTGTTTTGTGACCGAATGTACTTAGTAAAATTATAGTAAGTAACAGCATATAAGTCCCACTGCTGGGCAAAGATCTACTCTGTATATAGTATTAGGGAAAGGCCACCACACGACCCTTCATGATCCCACTGCAACTTCACGTCTTCGAATTATTTTTCTTTATTAATTCAAAAATATCGAATTTTCATGACGATGAATTCAAATTGCAATTTACAATTTCATTGACGCTGGGACTGGGATTTGAGCTGACAACCAAAAACAACTAATACCTGGAGGATAAGGATGTTATGTGGAAATGACTCTTGCTCTGTACATGTAAGTCCCCTGGTTGCTGCTGATTGTATACTTAAGTATTTTTAAACTTATATCATTGAAAAAAAAAGAGATATCAAGACCGCAGACTTTCTTGGCGGTTCTTTTCTGGTCGGGTCTAGTTTAGTGAACCGGTGGTAATTTTTACGACGTTCAATAAGAGCCTAAATTAATCGTATATTGAATAAATACTTTGACTTTAACTTTGAGCGAAAGTTGCTTGAATGGTATATGGGTGTTGAATTAGAAGCGAGTGCCTAACACAGAGCTGTCAGGGCTTATACTAAATTATACTTCGATGCAGAGTTATAGCGGAACCCCATCAGCGTGCAGTAAAATCCTTTGCGTATTTTTAAACGTAAATCACTGTCATCTTTAGTGGTAGTGATTCGAATTGGATCAGGCTTCCTACTACTCAGTGTTCAAATACGGAGTTTCCACATTTTGTACTGTGTTTTATCTGTCTCACGTCGTATAAAAGTAGCCACACTCATGAGGCAGCTGGAGATGACTGCTTGCGGGTTTGTTTGGAGAGAGTGCGGCTATGGAACTCACAGAAACATATGACGTTTCTATGAAGACGTTCATATGTTTCTATGAATTTGCGATACGAAAACACGTTTCCTATCTGTGGTATATCTCGCGTGTGTTACTAATGTAAACTAAGGATAGTTTGTTTAGACGACGTGTTTGTCGGTGCTTATGGCTTCAACTTATTTAATACTATACGGTTACGCAAAAAGCGCCATTAAATAATCCGCAATTATAACTAATGGGTAGATATCCTCAATTAGAAACGTATCAATCAGGCAAACGTTGCCCAAATACTATTCACGCCGCGTGTAGCGGTATGCGGAGTGGGCGTGACACAGAGCTTCCGAGTTCACAAAAAGTATATTGTGTGTATTACGCACTCAGACAGCCCATACGTCTCACCGGTTCCAGTGCAGGTTATTTAAAGTATAAAGGAGATCGTAGTAAACGTTTGGATTACGTCAAACGCGCTGGTTCACGTTTGAAACATAACAAACCGTGTAATTTCTTTGATGGAACGCCAATTGGTTATTATAGATTTGCGAAGGCCACTTTTGATAATTGTTTATTTATATATAAATATGGTGGTTTCTGATGTGGTCTCGATTTAGCTGACAAGAGGTCTTTTTATAAAATATCTTTTATCTCATGTTTTGTATTTCGTAAGAATTCTAAATAGGTAGGTCCAATTATCAGTAGACAAGATCTATGTGAATAATTACATCATGTAGATTAACTGCCAACGTATGCTAAAGACTTTGAATATGTTAAAATTTACTTACCGGTAGGCCAACTTCTGTACTGGTTAAGTGTGCACTTGTGAATGGTTCACTTATGCATACCGTGATAAATCTGAAACAAGAATGGACACTGCTGAGATTTGCGAGGTTAAATTCATTATTTTACCTTTTTAATTACATTCTTCTTTCGTGTGCCCCATTTTTTATTCCATCTAGGTTCAAGCATGTCACCTGCCTGACGTCAACTCTCCTTGAGAACAAACTCCCAGATGTGGAACAATTACATGTGGGTTACACAAATACTTGTCCCGTGTGGGAAACTAACCTACGATCCCCGGGACCGAAGCCGATAGCTTAGGAGCTACACCATCAAGTCACAGTTAGCTTTTGCTATGTTAACTTTATTACAGTTAATAACGCTTAATAACATTATTAAATCAACTTTTAAATGATCCTTACTTTTGTTTTAAAACAAACTAGAACGGAAATCCCATGAAGATTAAAACGCCGAATCACAGACCCTCCTTACGGTTCTGAAGGAACAGTAAATAACTATTGGCAACAAAGGGCCTCCTGTACTAATCCAAGTGTCAAATGTAACCAATTAGCATTTCCGTCACAATCGGCGCTTGTTCTTTATGCCGCCGATAGAGGCCCTTCTGAATACAGAATGGCCGATAACATCGGGAAGGGCTAATGCCTTTATGAAATACTAAACGGCTTCGGGCCTCGGGCAGCACGCGTTGAATTAGCCAGCTAATTTATCGATCTGTGCGATCGATCAATATTATCGTTTTGTGTTTGATATTTTTTTTATTTTTGTTATGTTAACTGCCAGTCGTATCACGACATTCGTAAGTTCATTAATTAAAAAAAAATATTAGTTTCTTTTTTATGATCTATGATCATTTTATCATAAAATATGTGTAAAATTGAGGCCACATGTAACACATTAGAAATTAATTCTTAATTTTTCCTAAAGTTGAGGAACGCCGTGAGATTGCAATGAGTTTCGGAGGTCACCAGTCGTAGATACATAAAGGTATCGTAAATATAAAGAAAATGATGTGAATCTCTTCGCGCTACGACTGTATCTAAAGTGAAATCGATATCAATAAAATTTTGATAGGAGGTAAGTAAGATACATTAACCGTTTCCGGGATCGAATTATGCTTCCAGTAGAACAGTGCGTGGTGTTGTATTGTATCTCCGTGGCGATAACAGGTCAAAGTGGAGTTCTGCGGTCAGCGCACACCGTAGCGGTCACGACTCGCCGTCATTGCACGAATGACAACGCAGATAAAGCCTATTACCAACCACTTGCCCACCGGAGTTAGCGTGTACTAGGGTTTAAAATAAAGCTTACTCTCGTATCTAACAAATAAGTGCATAGAAGTGAACGGTTTAAGGGTGATGTGATGTTTAGATCATCAATGAAGTGGTACTTTCTGTTACTCACTTTCGCTGCCTCTTATTTTAATTTTGACAAATTTATATTTCTCATCGTAGTTTTTATTGCATCTTTCTTATTGTACCCTTTATCACAATTACTGAATTGAATGCTGAAATATACTCTTGTCAGCCGGAACTTTACAAGGACATCGTTTAGTTATAGAGCCGTCATAAAAATATACATAATATTTTGTAACGCAATAAATGACATTGAAAATAAAGTTAAAATAATTATAAAGCTATACCCTTAGGGACTTTCGTATGGTTCGAGCGATTCCATGCCGCTTACACCGCACAATCCAAGGTTGTGATACAAATATTAACAACAACGATCGCCATTGTATCGGTGTATTGGACGCGCCCGTCGGTATGCCGTTACGGGCGCCGGATGTCCAGTTATGTTCTAAAATATCGACGGCGTCCAAGCAAACTAATGCGTATGCGCAAAGGCCGCGACGTCGCTAGCCTTTGTTCCCCTCGGATCATTAAATTAGTCTTATCTCGCGCCAACGTACACATTTGAATATTTGAAACGACGCTCGGCGCTGCCCTGTCCATTCGCATGCGCGATTCGATCCTTGCGGAGATTGTTTCGCCGAGATAACAGATAGATCGGAGATGCCGCTATTAGCGGTCACAAACGCGCACCGCGTGTATCCGTCAAGTTTGAATGGTTCGAAAATTTTTGTTCTCAATGTACGATCGTTACCAAAAATATTCATTGCGATCATTTAAAGCTTCTCCCGGTTTCAATTAGAGACAAGAACAAACTCAAGTTGAAGCTAATGTAATTTTAGCATTTCTTTGTGGACAATGCTATATTTTCATATTCATTTCTTTAAAGGAGCATCATGTTTTATGTGAATATGGATTTCTTGATTTTACACGAGTGCTGCACATTTTACGTAAAATCTTTTGAAGAAATCCAAATTACTTACATATATTTTACTTATATGCCTTACCAGGGACACACGGTAACCATCAGTATTTATGAACGGACAAATCCCCATTACCCCGTAATGAATTAACATCTTGAAAATGGAAGTCAAATTTAATGTTAAAGCCAAAATAAAAATGACAATAGATTTGAAACTAAATTTAGACCAGTTGCAATAATCAGATAACGCCTACTGAAGTAACAAACGTTTAAATAGGTCTAGGATACATGAAATCGGATGGTAACCTGCTTGAAATATTTGTACATGCCTCGTTCCATTTCATCAATGACACTAGATGGCGTAGCGATTGGGCGCGACAATATTCCGTTTGCAATGGCGTCTGTGAAAATAGGCCGCATTAGGTAGCACAAGTCATCAAGGAGTGTTCGACAGTCACGGGCTGGTGACTAATTGCGTCACCGCTTTGACACAGAGGGATCTGACGATAAATCACTGCCGTTTCTGGATCGAAATGAGATCACGGGCTCAAATTATACCGAATTGAAAGACGAGCCTAATTTGACCAAGTCGTGTGCAGCAATTCGGGATTCAACGTATACCAACAATAAAATTGAAGTGTCTGAAAACACGGATTTTTTAACAAAATATAGCGAGAGCTGGTATTTGTGCGATGCCTACATAGTGTTTTTTCATTTTTTTTTCTATTCGGATCTCTGAAAGTTTGGCTAGAAATGACTTCGAAACGGCTTAAAGGATTTCGACAAGAATGTTAGCTTATTAAATTTCGATACCCTAAATATATCCCATATTTGTCATTTTAATACCTTTCATAGACTAAACAAGACGACGATATAAATACTTAATTCAGAAGAAGTTTGGTAATTGTATTTTATAACAATATCGGTCCCTTAGCATTATCATTGGCATCGTTGATTAACTGTCAACATAGAACCATTGCGGAAAAAAATCGACCTATATAAGACTTGTTTTATTGGTAAATTTAAATCATTTATGCGCATAAATTTGTTAGCAACTTCGTGAGTACTGACTATCATTTGGAATCCAGTGGGCTCTTAATTTCCTTATTTATTGACTTAAAAACTGAAATCATATTGATATTAAAATTTTTAAGTTTTATTAAAACATAAGTTTATGGCATTGCTCATTGTGCGAGTTGATGCAAAAACCATTTTATTTATGCATCATTTTAATTAAGAATAAAGGTACATACTATTAACGTGGTGGATGTCTTAAGTGTATTAAATATTGTAGAAGAGAATAATTTAGAAACAATCTTATAAATTTGCAATTTCTTCTAAGTTATAAATCGATGGCAGTCCTTGCAATGATAATAATTTCGAAAACATTGTTAATTTCGAATCTTCAGGGTAGACTTGAGTATTTTAAAGTCTTGATTATGGTTTCAGTTTAAAATCTTCACATTTTTTCTATAGTTATCAAGTTAAGAATATTGATTATTTTAAAAATTATATTTAAACAAAATTTCAATATTTTTGTTGATGGATTTGTTATTTCTTTAGACTGACATTTTGACAAGTGTTTCTATTTTACTTCTTATGGAACGTGTATGTAAGTATCGTAATATTGGCTTATAGTGGCTTCTTCTGATAGTGAATGAAATAAGTGCCTTTATTTAAACCGAAATAACAATGTTTGTGTCGACTTGGAACAGTAGTCCAGTCTTATTTTTGGTTTTAAAATGCACACTTATTTCGTAACACGATGGTAAGGCTGGTTTTGCATTGGATGATTTTTTTAAAGAAATAAAGACTTCAATAACAATAGGTATAGAAAGTAACGCCTGCTCTCTAACATAAATCATATGTTATTAAACATGCAACGGTCCACTTACATTTTCATTAATGACTAATAATCTATGATTTATTAAGCAAATGGGAACTCAAACACAAATTATAACTGTATAGTAACAAAGCGCAATCGCCTTGCCTAGCTTCTATCTCACGAAGGTACCCTGGCAGGTTCAGAATACCGTTGTATGCTTAAAATAGCAATAGAAATAACATTTTAAGAATGAAATACTCGCTATTTCTATTGCGAACGTCGCGGATAGCGGCAGAAAGGTTTTTAATGTTCCTCATGGTGTTGATACTAACGGTACCGAAGAAACAAACTTCTATATCAAATACGCATTTTGGTTATTACATTTGGGTGGATTAATATTAATTTATTATTTACCAACAGAGCAGATGATAAGCATTACATTTTGACTACCGAAAGTACACTATTTTGGACAATCTTTTGGCTAAAAGCTGGTATGGAAATAGACTTCAAATAACGTAGTTTACCATTCTCTAGGTTTGTCTGCAAACATTTTTATCCTAACTTTGTGAACGTTTCTCTTTTTAATATAGGGCGGTGAATAGAACTAACACACTATATAAACTAAATTCTTAATAAATTAAAACTATTTCTTTTCTATTCCACCATATCAGTAGACCACCCGTTGTTTGGCATTTTAAAGAGATATCATATTACTCGGCAATAAGTCACACAAAAGTTAACGTCGCTGCACGAACTTGTCGCAATTTCAATTCTTGCCTTCTCGATATTAATCAGAATTGAATAGATAATCTGTCTTCGCGTCATAAGAATTCTAGTTATACAAAATATTATTTACATATTTCACACCTTTCTCAACCTTCATTTTAATCAGTCTATATAAAACAATCATAACATAACTGATTATATTACAGGACAGAATCACAATTCGTATATTTTG